ACTCTAACGTTTGTTATTCTAAAGTGTTAACAAACAAGTTCTGGCTCTGATAGAGTCTTCTGCACCAAAGAAGCAAGTTTTCTTCTAATCTACTCGCATTCTGAAAGATTCTAAGAAGATAATATGTTGCTGCTGCAATGTTCTCTTGGATTATGCCTCTGAGAGTGACTATGATGATTTACTTTTGAAGGCTTTCAATCTTCTAAAGTTGTTATCTTCTGAAGACTCTGAAGACAAGGTTTTGCTGAAAAAATTCCTGAAGACTCTGAAGACTTAAGTTTCTGAAGACCAGGGGTTCTGAAGACTGAGTGCTAAAGATTTTGAAGACAAGTTTCTGGTGAACAAGTTCTGAAGACACTGAAGATTCAAGGTTCTGAAGACCCAATGATCAACTTTTGTACGCATGCTTTAATCATCTCTACTCAGAAGCCTCTGAAGTACAGAAGATAAGATCAAAAGTTTAAGAGGGAAAATATTACATAGTACGTATCAAAATGTTCCATTCTACTACCATTCCAATACCCTGATTTAATGGTGCAAAGGATGACTTTTGTGTACGATTTTCATCCCTGTGTAACGACATTCTTTCAAGTCTCCAGCTCTCTCAAGGATATTCCTTATCTGCCCTTCAACGGATCTTTTTTGGCTATATAAGGACTTGATTACTTGAATAAAAAGAATATCATTAGTGAAACAATACAACGCAACGCAAGAATAATATTCATATTGTGTAAAATTTCTTTAAGTATTTTAATATTCTTTGTGTTTATATCTACTTGTATAGAAGCAATTCATTGTAAACATTTATTTTTCAAATAGTTGTTTGTAATTCCTTAAGGGACCAATTAGGTCAGAATCCTTAAGAAGAGACAGTTAGTCTTTGTTGTTAGTCACCAGCAGTTGCTAATGTAAATTGTAATCAGTTGATTATAGTGGATTAAGTTCTTATGTATAAGGAGAAATCACCTTGGTGGGTGGACTGGATTAACTTGATAGTTTTCAAGTGAACCAGGATATATTGTGTGTCTTTCTCTCTTGTTAGTGTCTTTGTGATCTTTGTTTGAGTTTTCTCACACCTTCAATAACAGACCTATAATGACTTGTTTAAAATATCAGTACATTCCAAAGTCATTAGATAACATACCAAATTCATTATAACTTGTTCAAAATATCAGTACAACTTGTTCAACTCATAATAAATAATTCTTATGTCTTAACCATTACATAACTCGAAATACATAAGTCTTAACAATTACATATCCCAAAATACATAAGTCTTAACCATTACATAAAATACTTCAAAATACATAAGTCATAATCTTGAGTAGCTAGTGGTCCCTGTGAACATGAACCAACTTCTTGAGTAGGTTCTGATGCAGTCTTTGTCTTCTTGAGTAGCTGGTGGTCCCTCCTAATCTTAAGTCTCATATGATGTGAGAGTATGTTTTCTGGAAAGTTGATTTCCTGTACAAATGAAAAAGACTCAGAAATATACATTTCATGACAGATGAAAAAAATCAGTACTCATTTCATGACATACCTATAATACTCAGAAATATACTCTTTAGGATGTTTCTTATTATGCCATATACATGTTATGGCATGGCTATAAGGGATCCCAGTTAAGTCCCATTTTCTACAAGCACGTGTACCTTCTTTGATGTTGACACAGTAAGTTTCTATACCATTTGTTACACCAAAAATGGCCATATCATCATCACCATGCCAAGTTGGAGTCCAACTTTAAGAAAATTTCTTATTCTTCTCTAGAGCTAACTGAACTCTTGGACACACATTACCAACATACTTTACTATGAGTTCCTTCTGGTTAGTGATTCTCTTGGTCAAGTAATGCTTTATCCCTTCTAAAAAGGTGATAATAGGTTTGTCCCTATATTCTAGGATGGCCCTATTAAAGGCTTCACACATATTGTTTACCTGAAGGTCACACTTAGAATATGTCTTAAAGTGTGACCTGCTCCAATATTATGTTGGCACCTCCTTCATATCCTTCTAAGCTGATTCACTCAAAGCCTTCATCCTTAACATTACCCTCTCCCATCCTTAAATAGTTGTAGCTCTTACAACACTCCATAAAGCCTATTTTAATTCCGTACCAGGGTATTCTTTTCCAGTTTCCATACAATTTCTTCATAAATATCTTTGTTCCACATGCTCACTCAAGCCTTGGAAAATTGGGACAAGACCCTGTCAATTACAAGTCAACGCAGTTAACCTCTGTACAACTTACATAAGCATAAGTAGGAAAATAATATAAAACAATAGTGATCTACCTTTTTCTGATCTGAAAGAAAGTCATACTCCCTTTGATTTATGCATTGCAAGTCTTCAAGTAAGAGATTTAAAAACCACTCCCAAGAGTCCTTAGTTTCTACCTCTACAACAACATATGCAATTGGAAATATCTGGTTATTTCCATCCCTACCTATAGCTGCCATCAACTGCCCACCATAGTCTCCTTTTAAAAAACAAGAATCTAGTCGAAAAAGTGGTCTACAATAACAAGCAAAACCAACCTTGCATGCCTTTAGGAAATGTATATTCTCTCAAAAACTGGGCCATCACTAGAATCTGAGCATTTCAACATAATGTTACTATGAGGGTTGGACTTAAGTAGCTCATTTGCATAATTTCTTAGATGTGTAAACTGGACCCTTCCTGCACCTTGAATAATATCCACTGCTCTCTCTTAGCTCTATAGGCCTGGTCAGAGGATAGTTTGACACCCTACTTATCAAATGCCAAAGCAGCTAGTCCAGCTGGTTTCATATCAGAAGTATGCCTTAGTATATGGCTAAACTGCTTGCCTATCCATCCAATTTCTGCTTGTCTATTCTAGATTGTTTTATGACAATTATGCTCATAATATAAACTCACCACTTGCCAATATTGGTTACCAACCCTTTTATTAATTCTCATGTAGAACTTGGATTCATCAATACACCTAACAACCATCCTCTTTGCATCATTCTTCTTTAGACACACATTCTTTTTTTCCATCATATCATACCTCTCCTTTATGGCTTCCCTTACCAAATCATTGTTGTTAAATATCATGCCTAATTGAAATTTGGTTCCCTCACCAACCTTATAGGAAGGAAACCTCTCATACTCTTCATCATCTTCACTCTCAGGTGATGTCTGCAGTTGGTTAGAATCTTCACCATTATCATGGTGAAAGTCATTTTTATTGACATGTGGTTTAATTATTTCAGTTGGAATTATAGTTGCCCAATCCAACTCAGGTTCACTATCCAACTCAGGTTCATTGTCATCAACACCATCACCTACTTCAACATCATTATCCACATCAACATCATCACCTACTTCAGCATCATTATTCACTTCAACGTCATCACCTACTTCAGCATCATTATCCACTTCAACACCATCACCTACTTCAGCATCATTATCCACTTCAACACCATCACCTACTTCAGCATCATTATCCACTTCAGCATCATCAACTACTTCAGCACCATCACCCACTTCAACATCATCAACTACTTCAGCATTATTGTTTACTTCCACCTCATCATCAACAATTTTCTCACCGGTGCATTGAACCTCATCATCGTCAGAAGTTATGGCATGTCCTACTTCTGCATCATCTACAATGTCAGGTTCACTTATACTATGTTAAACATACAAATCTATTACCTCACATCCATCAGCATCCCTAATTAGTTGCAACACATCACCATCGTCGTTAATCTTTCTAAGGCCACGAGTAAAACTAAACCTAGAGTTCCAATACCAAATACACATAATGTCTATGTACCCCTCTATTTTAATCAATTCCAACAACTCAAAATAGGACAGGTAGTCAACATCCCATTTTCAATTCATTTCTGAAATTAACCCAGCAACATACAGTTTCACAGGGGTGTCCACAAAATAACCTCTATGATGAAATCTAAACCTAATTTTTTGAGTTTGTGATGGTCTAGAATACATGTTAAATACAAGTCAGTCAAAGGAAAACACACAAATCAACATAACCAAAATGGGACCACAAGTCCTAAACGACAAAGGAACACAAACCCTAAAATGGATGGGACCACCACGTGCAAAAAACACAAACTCTGAAACGAAAACGACATGTTTCTATCATAGATTGGGGAAGAACACAAGCGAATTCTGGAGAATGATTTCTAAGGTTCACAGATTGGGGAAGATATACGTGTTTTCTTCTTTTATAAATGGGGAAGATTGAAACTTTTTTGTTTAGGTTGTTTAATGAAAAATGTTTTTTATTTTAAATGTTTATGAAAATTAAATATAATAAGTTTTTAATGATGTGGCAATGTTATTTTCAGTCTGGGTCAACATCTACTATACCACATCAGCGCTGATCATGCCACATAACCCAAATTGAAGATGGGACTAAGAAAATCTCAAGATAATTCAAAGTGAGAGACTTAAAAACTAATTTTATTTAAGAAAGGATTAAAAATTTAAAAAAAAAAATTAAAAAACTAAAACTGCATTTAAGTCAATTTACTAGTATTTTTAATTTTTTTTCTTCTTCATTTTCTTATTTTTGTCATAGTCTGCAAACAAATTTTTGCATTCAAAATCACATCCAACTTAAAGACGTATCCCGTGCATACGCATGGGTTTGGTACTAATTTTTTCTATAATACAATTTCACTCTTAAAAAATTAGATACGATCAATTTATATTGTGGCTTTGAGTACATAAACCAAACGGAGCCCGCCTGTGATAAGCCATATCATCCTATCAAGTACAACATCATACCGCATCATGAATACCATTGGTCAAGGCCATGCCATGTAGGCTGCATATGCGTCACCACGTGCCCACTTTTCTTTTAAAACTAACACATACTTTAAATTTATGAATGAATGACTGAACAAACCACACCACACCACAAACCCAACACTGCAACAAATTGAATTGTACTTTCTCAAGAAAGTTAGATCTAAAAACACACTGTTTTCTTCTAAGGTCAAGCTATGAAGTTAAGAAATGGAAATGGAATCACTCTCCTACTATTGTTACTATGCTTAACAACTCTCTCTCTTCAAACAGAAGCTCTACAGATGATAATTCCCAGTTCAGGAACAAAATGTGTGTCTGAGGATATTCAAACACACGTCGTCGTTTTAGGTGATTACTATTCTGTAGTTGAAGAAGCTTATCGGGTTCATAGAGTTTCCGTCAAGGTATCTATTTCTCTTTTGTTATTTAATTTCCTCTTCCATTCATATTTACTCAATCTTTTTTCATTAAATAAGACTAATGTAGTCCTATAACAGGGAAAGAGATTAATTAAACTACTTTACACTATACTCAAATTAGAATACATAATTTTGACACAGAATGAAATAAATAGTTATTAAAATGATTTAATTATAATTTTTTTTTATTTCATATTTATATATTAAAATGATAAATTCTAATTAAGTGACAGGTAAAGTGGTTTTACACTAACTGTGTATTTTAATTAATCTCTAAATTAAAAATTTGTGCAGGTAACGTCTCCTTATGGAAACAACCTTCACCATAATGAAAATGTTACACATGGGCAGTTTGCATTTACAACTACCGAAAGTGGAAGTTATGTAGTGTGCTTCTGGCTGAGTGGAAATCAACAAGAAGGTGCAACTCCAAGTGTCAACCTTGACTGGAAAACTGGACTTGCAGCTAAGGATTGGGATTCTGTTGCAAAGAAAGAAAAGATTGAGGTGAATACAAATCTACATTCATATACATTTATATTTAAATTGTTATTAATGTTTATCAGTCTGTTTGTTCTTTGGGTATGGTTCAAGGGTGTTGAACTTGAAATCTTGAAGCTTCAAAGACTTGTGGCTGCCATCCATCTTTATCTAACTTACTTGAAGGATAAGTAAGTTTTTACTCTTTTAAACTGTGATTTCAATTTGAGTAAATTTGTTTTTAGTTTCACTGTAAAAGTATACAGTATCATAGTATCTGTTTCAAAACTTCATTTTTGTTGGACTTTTTGCCACAGGTCAGCAAAGCTGAGGGAAGTGAATGAAAAAACAAATGCTAAAGTCGCATGGCTTAGCATCATGTCTCTTGGTCTCTGCATTTCTGTTTCGGGATTGCAACTTTGGTATCTAAAGAGCTATTTTCGAAGGAAGAAACTCATATAGATATTGCTATTTATATGAGACTCTTTGACAAAAATATTTTTCTGAGATTCTGGTTCAAGTAACTGATCCAACAATCAAAGAACCAAGAAGAGCACTCGCATCGCAATAGGTTTCCTAACCGAATGCGATGCGAATTATGTATGATGTGCGAGGGAGTGGAATGTGTACTTTTTTTGTCATTCTTCTTGAATTTTCACTATGTTCTTTTGTTTTCAGTGTTTGTAGAATCTCGTTCATTTGTATTATAGAGCAGCTATGACTACTACTATGAGTACCACTCTTGTCTCATTTAATAAAAATAAGTTTGAGATATTAATTGATTTAAAAGAAAGAGATGAAAAATATAGAATAGAAAAATGTTGCATTTTTGTTTAAATATTATAATGCCCTTATCATGAATAATATTTTCAATTAATTAAATTAACTATTTTGATTTAAATTCAATTAAGTAACCAATTATTTCTACTACTTATTTTTCACACCGTAAAAAGTGATAGTTAATTAATTAATTTGGAGTTTTGTAAAAAATGAAACAAGAAAACATTGAAAAATAAAACACAAAGCTTATAAAAAAATGTAAGACTTGTTATAATTTGAGTTTGTGATATTGTGGGCAAAAACCTATATGATAAATTTTTATTAATTGGTCGTAATTGATTCAATTATAACTTTTTCAGTTACAAATCTAAAAATTAAACTTATAGAAATTTTGAAATAAAAGAGTTTTAATATTTAACCTTACAATTATAATTGTATATTAATTTCCTTAAAAAAAATATTTGATAATTTAATATTATAATACAATTCTAAATTGTATTTTAATAAACACTTTATTAATATATATATATATATATATATATATATATATATATATATATATATATATATATATATATATATATATATATATATATATATATATATATATATATATATATATATATATATATATATATATATATATATATATATATTTAAACTAAATATTCATTCGTTTTGTTTGAAAAAATTAAATGAAATTAAGATGAATGGTTAGATTTGATTATGATTTAAAGTAGGGGTGACAAAGTGGGCAGTCCGTCCCGTTTAAACCCGTCTAAAAGCGGGGCGGGGCGGACCAACTTAGGCGTTCGAGCTCAAAAGTCAAATCCGTCCCGTTTACTAACGAATTGACGGGTTGGCGGACGACACACTAATTTTTTATTTTACAATTTGATTTATTATATAATTTACAAAAAAATTATTTATTACCAAAGAGGTCGACAAAAGATTATTTTAACAACGCATAATAGAACTTCAACATGTCTTAAGTCCAAACAGTTTAAAAAATAAAATAAATAAATAAATAATACATTTCATCTTAATCCTATTTAAAAACTAATTAATAAAAGAACCTAATTAAAATTTTATAAAAGACAAACAATGATAACAATTACAGTATATACAATAAAATAGTAGTGCATAAAATATCAACATCTAACATTCTCAACATTCTCACTATTTACATCATATAGACTCTTATATTAACTTATTTCTTAATAGTTAAATCTTAAATTTGTCACGTACACACTAATAAAATCCTTCATTTTCTTAAAATTAACATCCATTTCTAAAGAAAACATGTGAGTTAATGTTTGATAACTTAATAATTCAGCATGACATACAATTATTCTTTTATTTTAAATTTTTTCAATCAACATATGTATTAGAGTTATAGAAAGAACGTTACAATTGTAATTTATTTTGTTTGTATAATAATTTATAATACAATTCAATAAACCTAAACCTAAGAGAAGAGTGTTATTTTTATAGTTAAAGTTGTTTTAATTATAAGTTAAAAAATAAAAAGTTTTAACAAAAAACCTGTGGACAAACCCGTCTTGCTCTGCTTCGACCCACTTTTTCAAACGCGTTATGTGGGGCGGGACAACTTAATGTACCGACCCGAAAATTTCAACCTAACCTCCAAAAATGGCGGATCAAATAGGTCAATCCATTTTGTCACCCCTAATTTAAAGGAGAAATAAAATGTATTTATAATTTTTCTCTATAATCATGTTTTTTTAATATTAAACTAAATTGTACTCTTTTTTTTAAAAATCAAAGAAAATTACATGTTATTAAAATATATGTGATTTATATTTTGATGGTACTTATTTTAAAAAGTCAAAGAGAATTAAATGTTATTATTTTGTTAGAAAAGTGTTGGAGAGTACAAGAAAAGACATTCGAGAATAAGTTATAAATAATTTTATAACCGAAAAGTATCTAATAATAAGTATTATTAAGTTTGTCGTTTTTCTATAGATATATATTTTAATTAGTTAAAATATTTATTTTATTTTAATTAAATTAACTAGACATTAAAATAATAAATTCTATATTAGTTACTAATAAATAACATTTATCTATAAACATAATTTAATATGAGACACATATTTATCACTATTGAATAAATAAATTTGATCGGATAAATATTTATTTTTTCATTCTAAAAACATATGAATAAAATATATTTTGTAATTATTTACATTCTTATTTAAAATAAAATATATTTTAAAATTATTTATATTTTTATAAAAAGGTTAATAAAACAAAACAAAATCAATTGAGCTTTTGTAATTTTTTTAAACTTATAAAATTACTAAAATTTATCAAAAACTTTTCAAATTAACTTTATAATGGTAATCTTGATTTAAAAAAATGATAAATGGTAGTCAAGAAAATTTAATGATAAATAATAATTATGAAAAAAAGAATGATAAAAATAAAAATTTATTAATACAATCATTTTTATAAACTAGAACAAGTTACAATTATTTTATAAACGCGAATAAATTACATAAATATTTTATAAACCAAATAAATTCGACTATTGATACAATTATTTAATTATTTGTATAAATAAGAATAAGTTATAAATATTTTTATAAATGAAGACAGGGATTCAAGGTGTTTATAAACAGAAGAAAAAAATATAATATTTTATAAACGAAAATAAGTTATAATTATTTTTGTAAAAGGAAACAAGCTACAAATGTTTTTACAAAGGAGAAAAGTACAAGTATTAATACAATTATTTTTAACAGGAATAAGTTTAAAATTACTCTATAAATTGTCATACGGTTCAAGACGCTTATAAACAGGAAAAAATCTATAGGTTGATATAAACATTTTTATATATAGAAATAAGTTACAATAATTTTTTAAAACGGAAATAAATTACAAATATTTTTATAAACGAAAAAGTTCAACTAATTATACAAGGTGCTTACTATTTTTTATAAATAGACACACGAGTTCAAGGTGCTTACTATTTTTGTAATTATATAAATATTAATCAACTGAATAAATAAATGTATACAAACTTGACAAATGAGAGTGAGAGGCCTATAATGTGAATCTAGACGGGACTTGTACAATAGCACAGATTTCTTACTAGTATAGAATAGAAAAATGTTGCATATTTTTAAAACACTATAATGCCCTTATAATGAATAATATTTTCAATTAAATTAAATTAACTATTTTAATTTAAATTCAATTAAGTAACTAATTATTTCTGGTACTTATTTTTCACACCGTAAAAAAGTGATAGTTAATTAATTAATTTAGAGTTTTGTAAAAAATGAAACAAGAAAATATTGTAAAATAAAACACAAAGCTTATAAAAAAATGTAAATCTTGTTATAATTTGAGCTTTGTGATACTGTGGGCAAAAACCTTTGTTTCGTATATTAGAGAATTGTTGTGAATTGAATACTTTGAAATAAAGTATATACAATTTCTTTATGATCAAAAAACACACAAGGGCTAGGGTTAACAAAGATAACAAGGTAAAACAACAAGGAACAACAAGGATTGGTTATAAACTATTATTATTTCCTTACTCTTAGAACAAGATTACAAGTATAAAAGAATAACAAAATAACCTCTATCTCTTGAAATTAGGATTTTATCTTTCTATTTTTCCTTATGCCAAGATTGAGAAACTAACATCCTATTTATAAGAAAAATAGCACACTAACCTAATGGGCTTTTTAATAATTACCCATTATAAACTAACTTAGAATACAAGCTAACTTAAACAATTGGGCTTACAAGCAAGGCCCAATTCAACATGCTAACAACCCTAGCAATATTGACTAATGCATGTTAGAACAAACTTCGACTACAACACGCATTACTCCGACTGCAGCATGTGCACATACTTCGACCTCATGCTTAATTTTTGTCGAACCAGAAGCTACCTTTCGACCATACTAGAGTTCGATCCAATATCTCACAAATCTCCACCTTGAATCTAACTCTATAACATCAAGAAACTAGCTTTCATCATGCAGCTTTATCAATTGCATACAGTGAAAAAACTTACAACTGGGCAACGTCTTGGTGATCATATCAGTAGCATTATGATCTGTCAAAAGTTTCAACACTTGGACTTTTCCACGCTCGATTACCCCTCTGAAGAAATGCAGCCTTACATCAATGTATTTGGTTCGCTCATGATAGGCTGAATTCTTCGATAGGTGTATTGAACTTTGATTATCACATTTAACAGTGATAACTCGACCTTGAAGTTTTAGCTCCTTTGCAAAACCTTCAAGCCACAATATTTCCTTCACAACTTCAATTAGAGCAACATATTCAGCTTTAGTGCTTGCCAGCGAGCCTTTCTAGGATTCACCATGTACCTTCTTACAAGACTTACTGCATATGTTATGTCGGGTCTATTACAGACCATAACATACATCAAAGAACCCACTATATTAGCATATGGAATGCTATTCATATAAGTTCATTCAACATCAGTGTTGGGACACTGATCTATACTCAGCTTGAATTGAGGGTTTGTCGGAGTCACAATAGGCTTTGAATTTGACATACCAAACTTTTCGAGGACCTTCCGTAGGTATGCCTCTTGAGATAAGCATAATTTTGACTGCTTTCTATCTCTTCGGATGTCAATCCCAAGAATCCTGGACGCAACTCCCAGATTC